ACGCATATCTTGGAGAAAAAGAGACATTACATGTTATTATCTCCAACAAGTTGTCCAAAGAAGAATAAAATAAGTTAATGAATTTGCTGAAGGAGTATAAGAATGCTATTGGGTAGACAATAGATGACATAAATGGGTTGAGTCCCTCTTTATGCATGTATAAGATTCTCATGGAGGAAGACTTCAAACCAACCCGAGAGGCACAAAGAAGATTGAATCCCCCAATGATGGAGGTAGTAAAGAGAGAAATCATGAAATATTTGGATGCAGGTATGATCTACCCTATCATTGACAAAAAATAGGTGATCCCCGTTTAGGTGGTTCCGTAAAAGGCTGAGGTCACAGTTGTCAAAAATGTTGAGGGAGAATTGGTGCCAACCAGTATGCAAAATGGGTGGCTGGTTTGTATTGACTATAGGAAGTTGAATGCTTCCACAAGAAAGAAACATTTTCCCCTACCATTTATTGACCAAATGTTAGAGATATTGGCAGGTAAATCCCACTACTGTGCTCGGGCTTTCATCAAATTTCGGTAGCCTCAGAAGATCAAGAGAAAAACCACCTTCACTTGTCCCTTTGGCCCATTTGCTTATAGGCATATGACTTCTGGTCTATGTATGCACCTGTAACATTTCAGAGATGCATGGTGAGCATTTTTTCTAAATATGTTGAAAGCATCATAAAAGTTTTCATGCATGATTTCACGATTTATGGAAACTCGTTTGATAAATGCTTGAGCAATTTAACAAAAATCCTGCAAAGGTGCATTGACACAGATCTTGTGCTTAACTATGAAAAATGCCATTTCATGGTGGAAAAGGGGATTAATTTTAGGTCATATAGTGTCCCAAAAATGCTTGGAAGTTGACAAAGCCAAGATTGACATTATCAAAAGTCTCCCTTACACGACAAATGTTCGGGAAGTTCGTTCATTTCTTGGTCATGTAGGTTTCTATCGGCGGTTCATAAAAGATTTCTCAAAGATTATGGTGCCGATGTGTCAATTACTCCAAAAGGATGCTAAATTTGAGTTTACTCAACCATGCAAAGACGCTTTTGATCGTTTGAAGGCTTTACTCACTTCCGCTCTAATCATCCAACCACTCAACTGGGATCTCCCATTTGAGATTATGTGCAACGTGAGCAACACCGCGATTGGGGCGGTGTTTGGACAAAAAGTAGATCGGCTCACCATGTCATTTACTATGCATCCAAGAGTTTGGATAATGCTCAAACTAACTATACCATAACAAAGAAGGAGTTGTTAGCGATTGTCTTTGCATTGGAGAAATTCCGACAGTACCTCCTTAGAACCAAAGTGATTATCTATTCGGACTTTGTAGCTATAAATCATTTACTATTAAAGAAAGATTCGAAGCTGAGGTTAATATGGTGGACATTGATTTTGCAAGAGTTCAATATAGAAATCAAAGATAATAGTGGGAAAGAGAATTTGGTCGCGGATCATCTCAATCGTATTGTGCCACCCGAAGACACCACACCAATCCATGACACATTCCCAGATAATCATTTGTTCGTTATCAAGGAAGCTCCATGGTATGTGGAAATTGTCAACTATTTGGTTACAAATCAGTTTTCCCCGGATTCCACATGTTGGAAAAAGGATAAGATCAAGAAGGAGGCCAAGCGGTATGTATGGAATGAGCCTTACCTTTGGAAGTATTATGCAAACCAAATGATCTAAAGGTGTGTTGATAAAAAAAAGGTCCAATCCATCCTTAACTATTGTTATTCCTATGCTTGTGGAGGTCATTTTGGACCCCAAAGGATAGCTAGAAAAGTCTTAGATAGTGGATTCTATTGGCCTACCATTTTTTATGATTCTTATGTGTTATGTGCACATTGTAATAAGTGCCAAAGTTTCGGGTCCTTAAGCTATGGGAATCAAATACCCCTTATCCCCATTTTAGTATGTAAGATCTTTGATGTATGGAGTACTGACTTTATGAGACCATTTCCGCCCACTTTTGGGTGTTCATATATCTTGTTGGAGGTGGACTATGTGTCCAAATGGGTGGAGGCCAAAGCCACCCGTAATAATGATTCCAAAGTTGTGGTGGATTTTCTTAAGGCACATATTTTCTACCAGTTTGGCACTCCAAAGGCTCTCATAAGTAATTGTGGGACTCATTTTTGCAACTGGATGCTTGAAGCCGTTCTAAAGAAGTATGGGGTGACTCATAAAGTCTCAACAACCTATCACCCTCAAACCAATGGGCAAGTAGAGGTCTCAAATAGGCAAATCAAATGCATTTTGGAGAAAACAGTCAAACCAAACCGCAAGGACTAAAGTATAAGGTTGGACGATGCCTTATGGGCATACCATACTGCTTTCAAAAGCCCCATTGGTATGTCCACATACCAGCTAGTGTTTGGAAAACTGTGTCGCTTTCCGCTTGAGCTCGAGCACAAAGCTTTTGGGATGTAAAGAAATTCAATTTGAATGAAGATGAGGCGGGTAACAAAAGGAAACTAGACATTCAAGAGTTAGAGGGGATCAGAAATGATGCGTTTGAAAGTGAAATGATTTACAAAGAGAAGACAAAGGCGTATCATGACAAAATGATCTCCCGGAAGACTTTTGCACAAGGACAAAAAGTGATTCTTTACCACTCGAGGTTTAAGTTGATTTCAGGGAAGTTAGGATCAAGATGGGTTGGTCCTTTCGTGGTCATAAAGGTATTCGACCATGGTGCAGTGGAAATCACAAGCCAACAAACCAGAAAAACATTCAATGACAATGGTTATAGATTGAAGCCACTTTACTCGGGATTAGAGGTGATGAATGATGAGAAAGAAGTGGTTGGGAACCCTACATACCAATACCGAAGCATATTTGCCAGCAACTTAAAACAAGGGCAGCTAATCGGGAGGCATCGCGGGGGTATTTTTATCTATTCATTTAAAAAAAAAACTCCATTTCTTTGAAGTTATTGGTTTTTAATGTTCCAAATGCATTTGAACATGTTTTCAAATCACCAAACGGACCTTGGGATGCAAATCCATTTCTTTTGAATGAGTGGGGATTTTTGGGTTCAAAAGTGTGAAGTGGCAAACAGAGCCGTACACGGCCTGCGTTCATTTTGCCTTATACTAAACACGGGTCGTGTTAAAGCGAAGTAATATTTTTTTGGAGTCAGAGAGGTGCACGACCCTGTGTTTGTTTTTTCCTTATAATGAACATGGGTCGTGTTCGAGTCAGGCAAACATTTTCGGAGTTAGAGAGGTACATGGCCCGTGTTCATTTTTGCCTTATACCGAACACGGGTCGTATTTAACCATTTTCAACAATTATTTTACCCAACACAACCCGTATGGATTTACACTAAAAGAACACAGGTCGTGTTCACACAGCAGACCATGTGAGTTTTAAGTTTTAAAATCGGGTTTTTTACCTCAATTACCCACAAACACATCCCAAAACAACCTCTCTCTCCCAAGAAACCCCCAAGGTACGATTTTCTTTAAAAATCCCTTGATTCTACACAATTTTGGCCAATCCCTTAAAAAAGGTTTGATTTTCATCTTTTACACTTCATCTCCTACATCATACACGCCATTTTCTTGCACTTTCATGGTGGATTTGGGGGTTTTGACAAACCCTAGGTCCGAAAATCACTAAAAATTTTGGTGTTTTTTATGCTTAAATCTTTATGTAGGCAAGCTTGGGGAGGTTGAAGAGCAATTTCTCACCAATGACAACACATATCCACTAACGATTTGGTACAATCTTTCCAATTCTTCACTTGTGGATTTTGTGTTCTTAAGGTCAAATTGCATGTATTTTTGGTCATTTTGGACTCGAAAATCACTTGTAAATCATTCAAAACTGAGTTTCCCATGAATTTTTGGTGGCCAAACTCGAGTTTATTGGACCCGTCAACAGTTGACTTTTTGACCCGTTGACCGGTTGACTTTTTGCCCCAAATTTTTTGCATTTGGAAGGCGAGCATTCTAAACGACGTAGACACACTAAGTCATCGGCCTCCCGTTGTAGGTTCCCATCACGACCGCCTAGATCCCCATCTCCTCCACCCAAGGTTGTAGAACTCGTTACTCGGTACCTGCTCGGCCGACTACCGAGTAGCGAGTACTCGGGAGTACTCAGGAGTACTCGGGGAGTACTCGGATTTGGTAATTCATGTAGTAATATTTTTAGGGAAATTATATATGTCAAAATAATAAGTTAAAATCATAAGTTGATTGAAATATATAACAAAATTAGATACATGTGAATACACAAAAACTAAAAAAACAAATAATGGTCTCACTTCGTGAATAATTACTAAAATTTAAGATATATATGTAGTAATAATCACATGTGTGTATGTTCAATAATAATAAATCATTAAGTATATTATACATATTAATCACCGTGTTGACCGAGTTTTACAACATTGCTCAGTTTAGTAAGGGGCCGATTGGGGAGTACTCGGGATTCTGTAACTCGCCTCGGCAAGGGGCCGAGTAGCGAGTACTCGGAGGAGTAATCGGCCAACTCGGCGAGTTTTACAACACTGCCTCCACCCAATCTGGCACATGGTGGTGTGGTTTGTTCCGACCCAATTCTAGTTGCTAAACTTGAGGCCTTTCTCCATCACACTCATAACATTCAGAAATTTATGCATGTGTTATCTCTCCGTGAGTTGCAGATCTATAATCAAGTCCACACCTTGTTTCGCAACATTGGATGGAAAGCGTTGTTGCAGGTCCACAAGCTCAGTTATAAAGTACTGACAACCGATTTCTTGTCTTCACTCTATTTGGACCACGGTGTCCTACATTTCCCACTTATGAACCACGATCATCCCCTGTCCCTAGACCAAATCAATGCCATAGTTGGGGCCCCTACAAAAAACAACTTTGGCCCTAATGACCCACTCCCAGGATACAGTGATCTTACGTAGTGGACTGACCTTACGCATCAACATCCCTATGTCTCAATTTCTACTAAAGCCTCATCTCTCATCCACCCTGTGATGAAAGTGGCTCATAGGACTATTGCTTTGCTTTTCGTCCCTAGAGAAGAAAGAAGCACCATCAGCGCTCTTGAGCTCATAATACTATATGCTATGGCCCACCCGGATGATAATCTCATTCCTCACTATGGCTCATTCCTTTGCAACAAGCTCACCCACCTCAGCACATCACAGTCCGGAAAAATCTATTGTGGCGGTATATTCAGTTTGTTTGCTATAAGTGCTCCAGTCTAGGCCCCATATCCCAGAATTCATCAACCTCTGCCCTGTGAGCCCTACCTTACCATGGTAGTACTCAAGAGCATGAGGATGTTTCAGATAGAGGACGGGAACAATAATTGGGCTGTGGGCCAAAACCACGACCCAAGGCTCCTCATCACTCCCGAAAACTGGAACATCCTTGCCCTCAGACATCCTACTAACTTCACCAACTGGAAAATCACGCCTGATATTTTCCCCGTTTACTTTTTCGGTGAGGAAGATGAGGAAGGTGAAGAAAGTGACGAGGCTGATGAGGGTGGCGGGGCAGCACCACAAAATTCTCCTCCCATGGGTGGGGCCAGCTCATCCCATCATGCTGGGCACCCATCATATCACCAACAATATATTGATCTATTCCAGTCGATCCATACCCGCCTCGACACTTACCATCAAGATATCGCGAACCTAACCCAAAGTTTTTCCTCCTTCACCACTCATTACACTGAGGATCAAGAGCGTCAGTGTAAGCATGAGGAGGACTTTTGGACTTGGACCCAAAATTTCGACTATAATCCTCCTCCTCCTCCACAATAGGTTGTTCCGCCCTCTCCGAGCATCGGGGACGCTACTTATCTTTAAGCTTGAGGAGGGGTAGAGTTGTATATATATATATATATATATATATATATATATATATATATATATATATATATATATATATATATATATATATATTCTTTTGCACCCTGCATTTTAAAATATAAAACCCAAAAATATTTTTCCTCTTTGCTCTAGTTTTAAAGTTTTTGCATCCTATTATTTATGTAAAAAAAATTATATGAGATGATGACACTCTTTACATACGATAACCCCATGAAGTGAGAAAATGAGAAATCAAATGAAAAACAAAATACCCAAAGTGACTGGATAGTTACCGGAAGTGTAGGATCACCTGTCATAACTAGGGGACCCGAACATCGTAATTTGAGACCCTCGTCTTAGATAATAAAAAAATCGCATACCGAAATGTTTTTGTTGGCGCTAATAACAACTTTAGGATGATTTGCTTCTGAATGTTTAAAAAGAATCATTATCGAGAACTCTGGACCCACAGAAAATGGACCTATTTGTTGACACGTGTTACCCTCGCGGTAACAGAAAGCTTAAGTATTAGATCCACACAGTCAAGAAAGAAGAATGGGTACAACTGTCATATTCAGTACCCAGTCAGAATTTCAAGTACTCAAACAAAGAAATTTTCAGAAATTCAAAAGTTGATTGAAGAACTCAAGCTCAAAACGAAGATACAAATCCAAGTTCAATAAAAATTAAAGCCATCTCAAAGTCATATAAGGCGAATGAAGAACTATGTGATATGATAGTTGTGGCTCTCGTAAAAGTTAAATCATAGGAGTTGGGCCCCTTCAGGTTGGGTCACTGTTTCAGCGAAAGCTGATTCGCCAAGACGGAGTCTTAAGGATGTGTCGATTATGATTCTTGATCATCTAGTCTTAAGGACATGAGATCCCGAACTGTGTTATTTTCTCTCGCAAAAGCTAATCAATGTATGAAATTTTAAATAAAACTATGGTTGGATTATTGTATTACATCGTTTCGTGGTCTTCTTCACTTTGGGAGTCTGTGATATGTAGAAGGTAGCAGGATGATCGGCTAGGTATTAATGAGTCTGATCGTATATGTTCATATTTTTTAAAAATAAATAAAAAAATCACTTCTTTTCTTAAAATTTTCTTTGGTTCATTTTTCTCAAGTTCCCTCCGTACATGTATTTCTTTTTCATGGTCTTCGTTGCATGCTTTCATTCCTAGCTTTTAGGATCCTCCTGTCCCTTTTTGCTATATGTTTCTTTTTGCTATCTAGAAATCGTCCTGTTTGTCTGGTTCTTGCTCTTTCTTGAGGACAAGAAAGGTCTAAGCTTAGGGAGATTTGTTAGGTGCAATTTGTTCACATTTTTTCACACCTTTTAGTCCCTTTTTATGCATCTATTTAGCATGATTGTTCTTCATTTTCTTTCATTTCATCATATTCATGTTAGTTTCAAGAACAACCTTATTTGCACACTTTCATGTCTTTTTCAGGTAAACCGGAGGTTGGGACGCGCTTTGGGAAGTGCCCGTAAGCATCGGTGAAGACTTCAGGATGATCGGGCGAAGAGCGGAAAAGTTGAAAAAATGATGTTTGGAATTGGAGTCAAAGGGGTACAAGGAGCATGTTGGATTTACACTACAAAATGAGCACATGTCATGTTGACCAGAAAAGGGGGATGTTGACTACGCTGAGCATGACCCGGGTTGATTTGTTCTATTTTAACACTTGCCGTGTTCGACCCAAAAACCAACTTTTGGCAGTTTTTCCTATTTTTTTATGTTAAGAGATTTAGGTCATTTTTACAAACACACAACATATCAGAGCACCATTGATGAGGGAATTTTGAAGGTTTTTGCAAGGATTTTATCGTTTAGCATTTGGAAACATTATTTCTCTTATTTATAATTTGTAATTTCACATCATTTCCATCTTTACAACTTGTGATTTTGCTCTAGCCATGTGTGGCTAGAACCCTAGTTTCTCCAACTTCATGTTTTGACTTCTTAGTTGTGATTTCAATCATATGACATGATGTTTGCTTTTAATTACTATCTAGTGAAATTGATTTTGCTTCAATCAAATGTTTGATTCTAATTGTGATTCTTATTGGCCATTTAAATTAGGGTTAGGTCATTCAAGTTATTCATTTTGAAAAATCCATAATTGTTTTGTGAATTGGACTAACTAACAAGCATTAAATTGATCTACATTAAATGATTTAGTGTAAATCTTTTCACACACTTTTACACTCTTGAGCTTGTGAGGAGTATTGGGTGTTGTTGGGAACATTCACATAAAGCTTAATGCAATCTTTTTATCTAATGCTAAGAGCTTGTGTAGATTAGGTTAGTAAGGTTAGAGTTAATCAAAGAGCTTGTTTTGGTTAATTAATGTGGTAAATGGGAAGAGTTTGTTAACACTTGCAATTACCAACTTATATAGAATTGAGAAAATATCATGTTATCTTGGAATTGCATTGCTAAGTCGTCATACATAGAGTTGGAGTCCTTGAAAATTCTGAATTTAATTCACTCATTTAGCTAATTACTTGTGTTTTTAATTTTTTGTTTTAATCATTGCATTCTAAACCCCCCCCCCCCCTCTTTACTATTGGTAACCATAGTACCTTGCACAAAGAGGTATAGACTGATTATCTCGTGTCTCTGTGGATCGAACCTACTTGCCTTGTACTACCTTTTAGTGCAATATAGTGAGATTCTTTTGGAGAATATCATACCCCTTTATTTGTTAGGTTTAACACGCTTAACAATCGATATCCCTAACAACGGTCCTCTTTTATGGGTTTATGAGGTTACATCTACAATTCACTAAGCGGAAATTTATTTAAAAAATTCAAATAATTAGGGCACATGCAACCTAGTTTGATCTATATCTTTGTGACGTCCCAAAAATATAGTCTAAAATTTTTATTTTTAAATCAAGAAAAATAGTATTCTAATAATTATCCATACATCCCAAATAAAACAAGTGTATCAAATATCATAAAATCAGAGTATAATATCAAATGTGAAATCCATGTGATGTGTGCAATGCAGTCACCCTGAACTCTTCCCTTGCCACTGGAAGTGCCTGAAACATAAACTGAAAACTGTAGGCACAAAGCTTAGTGAGTTCCCCAAACTACTCTATACCATACATAATAAACGTGACATCCCCAGTTTCTCGGCCAGAAAAGGCCGATTTAGTTTATGCTTTTAAAATAAAATCAAAGTAATCTCTAAAAATATAAATATACGGAATTTGTCCCCAAAACAAAATATGATAAATATATGTATCAAAGCATTTCTTAAAGAAATGTATTTTTCATTTCATTACAAAAACTCGGGATGTCCACATCGATACAGACCAAAAGCATAAAGAGTATATTATAGACCTTACAACAGTTATTTACATCTACTGGCCTATAATCCAAAAATCCCTCATCATCATCCAACAATGCTCTGGGTCCACTACCTGTAGTATAAAAAGCTGAGTGGGTCAGACTTGGGAGCCTGGTGAGCATATAGGGTTTTCAACCCACAATAAATAAATTTATTAATTTCATCAACCAACAATAAATATATTAATTTCATTGACCAACAATATCACTGATTACCTATTCTCTTTATCCTCACATTACATTCCTAAACATCTATCATAAGGGACCTAGCCTAAGGAATATCATCGGGATGGACTTTACAGCTAAGGGGATTCCTCAGCCATTATATCCATAAGGCAACCATGAGGGGGATGGAGTACACCAGCGAACAAATAGTTCACCAACACCTACAGTTTGCGAGCCTACTAGCGTTCCACTGGACTGTCTAGAAAGGTCCGTGGTCTTCATCTATACTCCGCTAGATGACTACAACAACAACATCGGGGACTCTCATCCTTTTTAACATACATCAACTATTTCATCTACCCATGTTATACCCAACATATTTGTAGATAAAAATACATATACATTTTAAATCATTCTAAGCATGTATAAAAACTTCATTCAACATCAATCTCAAATAAACAAACAATATTTATACACATAGCACGTATTTTATAGAAAATATTTCATATCTATGTGTAAGATAAAAGTGACTACAGACTCACTTGATTTGACGATGATTGGACAAAACTTCATTTCTTAAAACAATCGTTTTTGATAAAACCGAGATGTTTTCTCAAAAATTGGGCTTCACGTGGACAGATTTTCGGCTCGAAAACTCTTTTTCTTGGGATCTTCAGGTGCTTTGGGTTTTGCTTATGATGCTAGGATGGTATTTAAGGTTTAGCGGTAATTAGTGTAATTTAAAGGAAAGTATAGGGTGAGAGAATGAAAATGTGTAACATCAATTCGGCTGGCTTCATTCACCATTTATAGTGGCCGATGCCTTGAGTTACGTTGGGCGTACATTGAGTACGTTGGCCGTACAAATGGATCATATCGGACACATCAAGGCTACGAACACGTGTACACCATGCAATGGAGTAGGGTACGTGGCCAATTATGGACTGTGAACACAATAGTACGTTGGGTGTACATACCATGTACGTTGGGTGTACATATTTATACGCTAAGCGTACCACTTGGTATGTTGGGTGTTCTTCCAGCCTTGAAGTTTGTGCCAAAATCTTAAAAAATTCATATCTTTCTAATACGGGCTTTGTTTTTGACGTTCTTTATGTCCACACGTAGGTCAAACTATACTCTACAACTTTTTTTTAGACTCCGTCAGCTAATTTAACTTTATTTTTAAAGTTATATTTTTACAGGTTGGGACATGAAAAGTCTTAAAAATTCATAACTTCTTCATTCGACGTCCGTTTTCGTCTGTCTTTTTACCGTTGAACTACTATCAACAAGATCTTCGATTCTCGTTTAGGTTGTGCCGGCTAAAATCACTCGATCTAAAATTCGAGTTTCGGGTTGCATACTACTATACCAAATCTTAGAAAATTCATAACCTCCTCATAAAAAGTCAGATTTG